TTTTGATTTTGATTTTGATTTTGATTTTGATTTTGATTTTTCAACCAAAGGTAATTCATTTCTCTTTCTTTTTGTCTTTTTTTTTCCTCGTATCTATCTGTTCTTCCATCTTTTTACTTTATATTTCTTCCTTCCTTCCTTTATTTTCTCACTACTCGTACTTTTATCTTATTTCATTTTATTTTGTTTCTTCCACCAAGGACATTACATAATATATAATTCCATTATTCGTTTTTGACACTATTTTTCCCCATTCTTCAGTTCTCTTTCATCCTATCTTATTTCCCCGTAGGTCACACAGACCATCATGGCGGTACATCTTCCGCTAGTGATAGCAATCACTCTCCTCATCTTCATAACCATCATGCTGATAATAGCCTGTGTCTATTGCTGCAGGGGATCTCAACCAAGGCGTCGCCAAAAGTTTGACTCTCAATCAGCAGCCTTTGTAACCCGAGCTATGGCGCCTGTTCCAAACAGAGATGATTTTCCATCTTTGATCAGCAACAAATAGACGCCTCGATCTACTGCGCATGCTCCAAATAGAGATTTCTAACCTTGATCAGCAACAAATAGACGCCTCGATCTACTNATGCTCCAAATAGAGATTTCTAACCTTGATCAGCAACAAATAGACGCCTCGATCTACTGCGCATGCTCCAAATAGAGATTTCTAACCTTGATCAGTAACAAATAGACGCCTCGATCTACTGCGCATGCTCCAAATAGAGATTTCCTAAACCCATCTCGTACTTAGAGCCTTTGTTTCTAACTAGTGCTCGTGCTCAACGAAACATACGCAGTAAGAAATATGGGCTCTGGGTACGAGATTGTTCTAAATTTCATAAGCAATATTTAATGCGCATGCTCCAAATATCATTCGTTTTAAAACTATTCGATCTATCGTGACGCTAAAAACCCAGCCTTTCCTGATCGAAGTAGAAAGTGCAATGGTAACGAATTAAGGCCGCACGAAATTCTGGGGCTGTGTGCTTCGAATGTGACTCAACTCCCATGATCCCGCTAAGGTTATTTTCTTAGAAATAAATTTTAAAATTTCCCGAAATCATCACTCCAGTGTTGATTCAACACATTGATATCGACTTTGGCCAATCATTGAAATTTATTAATTGCAATAGATTAAGAGTTACGCCGGCATGACTGTCTATCAAAGCACATGGTACAGACGCGTCTTGCCGTTACTATGACGGTACCGTATTCGAGAATATTGATTGGCTGTCGTCTCGAGAGGTGGGATTGGTTCAACGGATCGTACCGTGCCGTGCGCTATACGTAAAAAGGACGTAAAAGTGGACGTAAAATTGAAAAAAGTCCATTTGATTAAATAATTAATATTCGCCTTAATTTAAACTTTTTTTTTTTTGTTTTTTTGTTTTCTCCGCGTGAAAACGAGTATAGTCGCTTAGATGCTCAGTGCTTTCGACACATTTATCTTCCCTCTGCAAAAATCAATGATTCTAAATTCGAGTTCAATTATAGCTACCGTTAAAAGTTTAAACGAAAGCCTCAATCACTCCATGCGTTTTGCGTTTTAAACAAAAAAATAAAGTTCTAGAAAAAAGTTTTTGATACTTGAGCTTCACAGGGTAGTTTTAACGGCTCACTGGACGAGAAAAGGAATACCTGTTGAACGATTTTCCACACAACAATCACCAGCTATCTTCTAAATAATGTAGTCAACCTTTAACCGAGTTTTCTCGACTACAAACAGGTTTTGTAGTCTTGCACAAGATCCAAAATTCGACTGTATGTATGTATTGTTTTGGATTTTAAGCACGACTTTCAAAGTAGAACGCGACGTTTAAAAAAGTTGTTTTGACGGAAATGACAAATTTTGATTGCAGTGATGCATTGCGCTAAAGGGCATCTATCTCTGTGATCTAACGATCTTATGTCATAATCTATTTGCTTAACGCTCCAATAGTTTTCTTTATGAATAATAAAAGAGATTTCCCCAACACCATCACAGCCGTCCGACACATTTTACAACAGCTTAGAAAGAAACTAACTTTAACGAGAAACAAGAAGGGAATCAAGCTTGGACCTTAAATCGTAAGTAAAATGATAAATGATAAAAATAGCTCTATAAAGAAGTAGTACGAAGAAATATATTCAAAGTTGTTGTGTCTAGCAAGCAACTATTTACATTTTTCTCAAAATTGTTTAGTTAATTTAATCTAAATATCTTCCCTAACATCATCATAAGTCTGGAATAAGTGCATTTATTTTTTAAGAGCTTTATTTTTAGCGCTAAGATTATTTCTAAATATTCTTAGTTGATTTGATAGCGATGGATATTTCATAGTTGATTTGATAAACTGTAAAAAAAAAAAAAAAAACGCGCAGCCCGCCCAAACAGTCCTTCCACGTACCACCAGCAAAGACTTTTTTTAACTCGATAAAGACATAAAAGTTGCATTTGCTTTTATTTTACAGCATTATTTGTTGTGATAAAAACCTACAACATTAACTAGGCATATTTATAGACAAGTAACTTTATTTTTGGATATTATTTTGGTTTTCAATAGAACAGGTTGTTTCGGTCGTAGTTGAAAGGCTTTTATTTCTTTTTTGACGCCTTTTGGTGTTACATTAGAAGGAATAATTTGGTATAGTTTGGATGATCATAATGGACATCAAAGAGGATATAAAGTCGTATCCTGTCTTAGAAGGAATCCTAAGTTTTTATAGAAATTTTCAAAATGGACAAATTTCTACGATTCAATATGGCGGCGATAGGCACGTGACTTACCCTTTCGCGCTTCTTCCAGTTGACAAAAAAGGGGGAAAAAGAATAATTATTGGAAAAAAAAGAAAAAATGAACTTACAGATTAAAGGAGTGCACTTTGCACATAGAAGTAGCGCATGGCTTGTACTTATCACCGCTGACCAATTTAGCGTTTTCGTTTCAGTAACATGCAGTACTTAAGACCATTATTTGTACTGGTTCTTGTTGCCATAGTAACATCAGGTGAGTCATTTATTAATTTCAATTAATATTTTATCAACAATGCGGATCTGGGAGAGATCAAGTTACGAAAACCTTGAAGCTCCGTTTCGTCATCATAGACACTGCGCATGCTCAGGTATCGATACACCCGCCGGTACCGCCGGTACCCGACACACCGGGCTCCGTCAAAACCCCGGAAACCCCCGAGACGCCGGCCTCAAAAGAGACACCCAAAACCCCAAAGACACCCAAGACTCCACTCACTCCAGAAAGTCCAAGAACTCCAGCATCCCCGGTAACCCCGGAGACACCCAATACACCCGTGACAGGACCGACAGTCCCCGATACACCCGACACACCACTATATCCCTGTGGTTTTAACAACATGGGTGGAGGATGCATCTTTCCAATGCCGAGAATTGCACAATTTGAATACCAACTACCGCGCATGCCCAGTGCGAGTGACTTACCGGAAGTAGGAAACGTTGATGACGTGTACGATAAACCGGAAGTGCCTGTTGCACCTAAGCCTCCGGAAGCTCCTAAACGTCGAAGACTTTATTTTTTAGAAAGAGGTAGATAAATGTGGGATTGGAAAAAAGGGAAATGAATGGGAAAGACTGTTTTCATTTACTCGACTCTTTTTTTTTCAGGTTTTGCTCGACATATCAGTAAGTATCTTTATTATATTAACAATAGTTAATTAATGATGTGTTAATAATGATTGCTTACTATCAATCACGTGACTTTTTGGAGTTGACTGGGGGGGGGGGGCAAACAAGTGGTTGACTGGGGGGCAACTAGCGAATGTTAAGTCAAAACATATCAAATTAAATCCCTAAACTATTGTATTTGACTATTTCTACGACATGAAACCAGAAAACAAGAGATCAAAACAACCTCCAAGATTTTACAAGCCATTAAAAACGCAGCTGTTACCGGAATTGACGTCTATTGATAGCAACCTATGACTCACATAGATTTAGAACTTACTRATTAAGCCAGAGCAATTTTCTTTACAACTTTTCTCGCAAAGGCGTCGCGACACGAGTTGCATGAAGCATTGCAACGGGTTATATACTAAAGCGCATTTTTTTTAAATGTTGCAAGACTAGTTGCACCAATGTTTGCCAAAAGTGGAATTCATTTGTACTTTTTGCAACGATTGCGTCTCCGTTGCACAACGCTGTTGCGAGGCTAGTTGCAAAGAAAGTTGCTCCGTGTTATCACGCCTTTAAATGGTGTCGTTTTTATATATTAAGTTTTTATTTGTTTGTTTAGAAAAAGGTCATGTGACTCACAAAGCAAAGAAACAAGGGGGTGAGTTGATACTTTGTCGTTTAAATTAATTGCACGTCATATTTACTCATAGGTAAATGTTTATAGGAAAGTATGTTAATAAGACAAGATGTATCCATCCATCCATCCATCCATTCACTTATGAAACAATACATTTAAAGACGTACCTTCAAACAAATTTGCATGATTTGTAACACATGGAGTTGGAATGTGCGACGTTTTTTCCCGTCCAAATTTCAAGAAGATGGATACTGATGATGTTAGATGATGGTGATGTTAGATGATGGTGATGTTAGATGATGGTGATGTTAGATGATGGTGATGTTAGATGATGGTGATGTTAGATGATGATGATGTTAGATGATG